TAAGTTGCCCAGGCTGGGCTCATACTTGTGACCCACTTGTCTTAACCTCCCAGAGTGCTGGGATTATAGGTGTGTGCCACAACCCCCCCCCCCCCGCCCCCATCATATTCATGTTTGCTTGCTGTCGTGAACAGCAAGGGATTTGCTGTTCTGCTCCCTCCTACACTGGGGTTTTTGCATGTCCCATGCCCTCTGCCTGTTCTCATCTGAAGCAGTGTTTATCTGCTTTTGCGCTGTTTCTTTCCCACTTGGTTGTAGTTTGTTTCTGCATTTGCTCGGATATAATACAGATAACTTGGTAGGGATTGTTGTTGACTTTTCCCCTGCATCCATCTGAAACCCACATGGTTTTCCTTCTGAGCTATGTAACAAGTTGTGTTTTGTGTTTTCTTGAGATTTTGTTGAATGTCCATGACCCAAGGTCCCTTACACCTAGTTGAAACAGGATTTCCACCACTCTTGGGGATATAAAATCCCATTTCTCTATAGCCATAGAGCTCTCATTGTGGTCAGCTGTTCCCTATGCTGTTTCCCCCAGTGGCCATTTCCATGACTACTGTCAGGACGAAGACCCTGTTTGCTGCTTTGCATTCAAGTTTGTGCCCCAGTCTGGCCTCTGGGCCCATGAGCAGCCATGCTGTGCTGCTCCCTACCTCTCTACAGAAGCTTTCAGGGGACCAAGAAGCACAGTGGGTAGAATCAATGGCCAGAATGGCATTGGGAGTGTGGTGTTGGAAGCATGGGGTTAGAGGTAAGGCAGTGTGAAAGGGTACCCCTGCGAAGTTGCAGTTCAGAGTTCAAGGCCTCAGTTCACAGATTTTTCCTTAGTACTTAACTAATAATTGTTTGCAGGAACCACAGCAATTTTGCAGAGAACACAAATATCCTCCACAATTGTTTTTTTGGCAGGAGGTTTGCAAGTAACAAATCTGAGAGCATTATTCAGTTCTCCTTGCTGCTGACTGGCTGCTGCCCTGTAACCCATCTCTGGCAGATCCACCAGCATTCCTGCATCATAACAGGCTGCTGTACTCAGTGTAGCTATCTCAAGTGTTCTCCTTAAAGCCCTAAGATCCCCCAAGATTCCACCAAAACACCTTGTACCTTCTAAGGCTTCTGGCAATGAACCTAAGCCCCAGAAGTTTAAGACACTGGATTTGCTCTGGGAACTAAAGAGTTATGCCACAGTAGCATTTTTATAGGCATTTTTCTGACTGTATCTGAAATTCATGGTTTTTCACAATTCACGAGTGCTCTAGGAACATAACCCCCACAAATTTCAGGGGTCCACTGTATTTTACTGTTTTAGATGGAGTACTCTAAAGAGCTAACACTAGTGATGAGTTTGGCAGAATGCTAATTACTCCATAGATGCCCAGGCTCCTCAGCTTCAAAGAGCTTTTAACAGGCCAAGGCCACAGTGTGCTGATCAGGGATGGAAGCAGGATCACCAGGCAGATGTGCAAGCCTGAGAGCCCCTTGAGCTTCTCAAATTCCCTATTAACTACGGTCCTAGAGTTTGAGGTAACACAGTCAGGATCCCAGGCCATTGGTTCCTAATTTGCTAGTTGAAATCACCTCCTCCATGAATAAAGGTCAAGATGTCAGCAATTTTCGCCCTTCCTTAGCCCAAACATCATGAGAGGTGGGCAACTTCCTGTTTTTTCAGGAGTGGGGTCAGGATGCATTGCAGGAGGTGCACCAAGGAAAGGAGGGCCAGCAGGCTGTTGGGGTGGTGTGGGGATCCAAGCATGTGAGTTACTGAGTGGGTCCAGGCGGAAGGTACCACCACAGCATATGGTTGATTCAGGTCTTGAAATCGCAGAAGGGAAGTGGGCTACAGGAGGCCCACACATACAGAACCCACCCTTTTCTCTCAGTGTGCAACAAGCAAATATTTTACTCCAAGGGAAACCACAATGGCATGTTTCCTTTCTTTCCAGATGATAATTTATTGTGATGCTAGAGATTTCAAGGTTGCAATCAATGGAGCACACAGCCTGGAGTACAAGCACAGATTTCTGGACCTGGGCAGCATTGACACAGTGGCCATCAATGGCGATATCCACTTACTGGAAGTAAGGAGCTGGTAACCACCAGGAGTGCCACAAACCCAAATACAGAACAGCTGTGTGATCTTGGCTGTGTCAAAGCACACCTCACTGTTCCCGCCTTGTTTAAATTGCACTTCAGTAGCATTAAGTCCCACTGTTGTCCCACTGCCCTGAGGGGGGAATCTGAGGCAACAGCTTTCACCCTACATGGCCTCTTTCAGAACCACACTCAAGAAGTATTTATTAAGTGCCTACTGTAACACAGCCACTAACTGGCATTGAGCACATTTTCCATCAGCAGTGATAGTAGATGCACACACATGGTGGTGTGGAGCCAGTGTCCCCTCTTCTCTGGGGCTTGGACTTTGGTGTTCTGCCCGTGTACACTGCCTGCCTTGTTGGGTCCATTGGGTTAAGGGTCATGCAGTTATTCAGTCACATAAAATACTAATTTCCAGAAGACACTACTCCTTCCCCAGAGACTCCTTTCACAATGAGCATCTACGGTGTCGAAGTCAAGAGGACTGATGGCAACTTTCATCTGCCAGTGAATCTGTAGCACAATAAACAAACCGCTCTCCTTGCTATTAGCTTTACCAAAGAATTATGAGTATGACATCTGAGCTCAGCAGAAAAGTTAAGGCCAAAGAAAAAAAAAAAAAGTTAAAGCCAAAAGCAAACACCCCCATCTCCAAAACAAACCAACCAACCAAAAAACAACCCCAAAGCAAACAATAAACCCATCATGTTGACTCAATGTTGAGCTGATCTGTTTCCATGAGCTTTGAGGTGCTGGCCTGTGTGCACATGGTGAGTTTAAGGCAGAGAGTAGGTAATTCAGTTTGTTAAACATTTATGGGCAATGAAATAATGTCAAAATGAGATGTAGTGAATAGGCACTGTAAGAAAGCAAAATCTACCGTCGAGAGACCAAAGAAAGCAGAGGCAGCATTAAAATGTGTGCAAACCAGCATTCACCTCTGCTCTTCTAAAGATTAGTCCAGCAGCAGCAGTGAAATCAAAACATTTTTCTGCTTTAAGTGATTAAAATCAAACCTGTATCAGCAAGTTAAATTGTTGCATTTCTGTAATGTTTCTATTATTTGAAGGGGGTTGGCAGAAGTTCCATGTAGAATCTTCACAGGTCAGATCTTGTTAAGAGATATCAAAGGTTCAGACCTGGGGAGGGAAATAAACTAAATCGGTCAGGTCATTTTATCAAACTAACTGCTGGGCAGAATTCTGTCATTGTTTAGGAAGATTTTCATAACAGATCTGCTTAGATGTTTGTATCCATATATTAAAAATACTACTATCAATCTTGTTTTTTTAAAAAATACTCAAGTGTTGAAACTGCTAGCCCTCAATCCTTTCACGTAGATTTACTAGGTGGAACTCAAGAGGACATGGTGTGTTTGTGTGTTGGGGTGGGGGCAGGGATAGCCGTTGGAGGCAAGAAGGTTCTAGAATCCTCCAGGGTTATTTCTTCTAACAGCAGATTGTGCAACTGAGATACTGGAGACCAAAAGGCACTTAGGAAAAAATAAAAGCCCACTCATTTCACGTTAAGTCTTTTAAAATTCATTTTTGTTTTACATGGAGCTATTAGACTGGTTCTTTGATAGAAAAAATGCAGATTATAAGATTTTTTTTTAAAGGCTAATTACTAATGAACTGTATCAATATACTTCTTAAAACTATTTCTACCAAGCTTCATCTCAAAATTACAAGTTGGTCTTTTGCTTAGTATAGTTCTGCACTAAATTTCTGTATTAAATGAGATCAAAGGCAACTCAACGTGAACATTTTGTGGTGTCTTAGTCACTTTCTTATTGCTGGGACAAATTACCCAACACCCACAACTTAAAAGGAGAAGTTTATTTTGGCTATTTCAGTCCATAGTTGGCTGACTCCAAGGCAGAAACAGCATGCCAGAGGAAAAGCTGCTCACCCCCATGGCATCCAGGAAGCAGAACAAGAAAGAAGTGAGGAGCCCTTTCAAGTCATATCCCAGTGACTCCCTGTCCCGCCTCCTAACAGCATGTTCAGCTATGAATTCTTCAGCGGATGAAATCACTGATGAGTATAGCACCGCCCCATGATCCAATCACCTTCCAAACCTATGAGACTTTTGGGGGACGTTTTAGATCTAAACTGTAACACAGTTCTTCGATGCCTTAAACGTGAAGGAAAATTTGTGTAATTTTATTTGAGCCCTCAAGTCTAGGTTGAGAAAAATCTAGCTTCACTAGAGATTAGAGAACTTCAAACCCTTAAAAAAAATGTAGCGATATTTTACTTTCTCATACAAATACCTCTGGGTTAACAACCTCAAGGAAATGTGCTCATTTTCAATCGCCCAGACCACTTATTATTTCTGGGCTTTTTCTGTATGTGATCAGCAGGGTATGGGTTGTTTCATTGTGCCTCCTTCCTCTAACCTCCCAAAAGATTAGGGGGTAAAGGAGACAGTCACAGCCCTGAGTAAAAATGCATTCCAGAACCACTCCCTCTGTGGACACAAACACAGACTGAGGCTGAAGGGTCAGTCTATCCAACGTGAAAAGGACAAACCAAATGGCTTTAGTCAGAAGACTCGTGCGGATGCTGAATGGCTGTCATCTCCTTGAGGTGGACAGTGAGCCCCCAACCTAGTTTCACGTGCATGCAACACACAGAGCAGTGCAGCTTCACATCCACATGTCTGGTCAGCTTTGGCTGCTCCAGTTATTCACATCTGGCCCACTGGTAACATTATTCAGAAAAGACGAGGACAAATGCTTAGCAAACATAGCAGACTGTATAAAAACATGTCTCATTACTCTTTAGCAACTCTGTACAGATGGCAGGAGAGGCTTACAGGGATCCTGTATAAAGCAGTCATTAAATATCTACAGGTGTAAAGGCACCAAAAATAATATGGCACCAAACACCCCAAAATAAAAATATGAAAAATAAATTTGAACTCTCAACAGAGTTTGGTCCTCCAAAGGAAGTTTCAGAAGTAGCTCTGGAGTGGCTCCCCCAGTGTGACCTCCAGCTGTTGAATGGTCTTTTGGCACTGGTGTTCCACTTCTTCACACTCATCTAAAAGAAAGGAAAAAAATCTAAATTAAAACTTCGGCCACCAGTCACCCTGCCTCAACTCTCATAGGCCTGATTCTCAATGCCCCAAGCCCTCTGATAATCAGTCCCAGAAGCACAGCCAGGAAGCAAGGGCAAGGGACACACCTCCCTCTCCTCCCTTCTGCTTTCAGCCCTCTTACAGCATGGCCTTGGCAGAGACTAGGTAGATCCCTGGCATAGGTGGACACATCCAAACCCAAAATTCAGGGTGCTACTCCTTTAGAAGCTAACATGGCCCCCAGCAGTCAGACCCCATGAAGGACACGCTTCAGTCTAGGATACTGTGTTAATACCAGAGACGTGGTCTCCTTGCTATTGCTCCTGCTTGGTGAGAAGAACAGTGAAGTGCAGGCCCCAGCGTAGCACAAACCTGGCTGTTTACACCAGCTTTACTTGCCATATTCACTGGCTTTGCTACCTTCATCAAATCATTTACACCTTTAAGCTTCCTCTACTTCTTCTTTTGTAAAACAGGAACAATGGTATTTACCCCAGGGGGAGGCTTCAATGAGATCATCCAGGTAAAGTGCCTAATACTGAGAGTACTGTGGATAACGTGACACTAGACACTGATTACAATAACCCCACATGTGGAGACCAAAGTATTCAACCATGCATACATTGTGAGATTAACAAAAAACAATATTGTAGTCGATATGAGCCCAAAACCCCGCAGGCATGCAGTGATAAACATAGTGTAAAAAACCTCTCTGAGGACAGTGAGGTGGTGCCCCCAGTCTGCCCAGAACTAGACCTGCTGACAACACACCACATCCACAGCTGTGTCACCCAGGCACACAACCACAGAATTGTACTGTAACTACTTTTTAATGTTTGGGGATTACCTTCCATCAGTTCTGCTAGGAAAGGAATGGATTCTGGGAGGAGGACAATATAATTCTCCTTTAGTTTTTCAGCCAACGCCAACACAGTAATCAAGGCTGCAAACCGCACCTACCAGGGACAAGAGTAAAGAATAAAAAAAAAGTTTACTTATTGTTTATTGTTGTATTACTATCTTAAGGTCTGACTCTAGATAAGCTTTTTTAAGACTAATATTATTTCACATGCATTTATCTCACTTCATTAGAACACCAGTTTGTTTAACCATTTGGGGTCTGTTTGGAATATGGGTAACCTTACATATATGGTTTTCAAACTGTTCCCACACAGCAGCATTCAACGTGAATGTCTTTTTATGACATAGTCCTAAGAAAAAACAAAAACAAAATGCCACACGCAAACTCAAGTGTGTCACTAAGTTTAACTGTGCTGTAGCCGTCCATCTGGTGGGCTGGGGCTGCACTAGACAATGGTGATGTGGCAATGAAGAGTCTTGGCCACCACTGGCAGGACTGGCAGCTCATAACCCCTGACTGCACTCAACACTGTGAGGGACAAGGGCGCCCACTTGGGGTGTGTGCTCATGTCAGCACTGAATAAAACATACACTGTGTCACAATGTCCCAGTTTGGAAATTTTTAAAAAACCCCAATACATACATACACCACACAATTTGGGCACTTCTCTTGTGCCATGTCTATGATGGGAAATGCAGGCAGGTGCTACATATTGTTAGCAAAGTCCTTTTGAAATAAAACAATCTTCTTTCTAGTTTACTACCTATATTCAATACATATATTGACACTGTGCAAACAAAATAAAATATTAAACTTGATTCTGCCACTTACATAAGAACTTATAATTCAAGATTTAAGGGTTTATCAATGCAGCCTCATTATTTTTAACTTCTTAATAAAGGTCGTAAGTTCATACTAATAAATTCTATTAAGTTTGTTATATCCCTTGAGATTCTAATATGGTGATTAGTTTGAGAAATGATGATTCACTGCTAAAGCCACTAGAAAATACAGGTGTGGAATTTTAAACTACCCAGGTCACTGTATTTCTGCAGCACCACTTAACAAAATCAGAAGCCTAATGTGTACAGAGGAGATGATCTCATACATTGCTCTACCTCAAGGGAGTGTTCTGTGGACAAAGCATTTGTCTAAGAACCACAATGACATTTATATGGCACTTAAAAACAACAGGAATTATTTCGAGTTTTTGCTATTTAAGATCTGAAAGTATTTAGAAAGTTATCTCAATGTATCTGTCACACCACTGGGGGTGAAGAGGGGGTGCCTATTAGTTATAAAGTATATGTAAAAGTAAGAAATTTCTTAAGGCTTGAATTTCACTCAACACAGCAGACCAGACCTCCATTACTAGAGGATGGGTGGCAAAGCTTCCCTGCTGCTGTACCTGGAGCCTGTGCCCACAACCACATGTAGGTCACTTAGGCAGCTGGGGGCCATGCAACTTCCTACCTTGGGTGAGGAGTCTCTAGTCTTCAACAGAATCTGGTAGTTCAGTGGTTTCCACAGAGAGTCATCTGCCATGGCCACTGAGAACTGTGCAATGCAGGGTATCAGGTGCTGCGTCACCCGCTGCTGGAACTCCTCTTCTCCTCCAAGCCTGTTTTCCAGCTGAGGAGGGAGACGAGGACTGTGAGCAACAGCTCTCATTTTTTCTTCTGTCTGAACACATCCCCGGTACCATCTTCACAATATGAGCAGCCTCAAACCCTAGGTCCCACTCTAATATAATACTGTCTCTCCAGAGCAA